CCATGTCCCGGCTAATGAGTTGCCGCAGCGCATTGTCGTGAACCCGCAAACTGGTCTCGGCCCAACATCAAGACAACACCGCCAAAAAAGCCTTTTTCATGCCGGAACATGCAAAAAAAGCCCTGGATGGAACAGAAACTTTCTCACTGGTTTCCATCAGTGGATGCGCACGGCGACAAGCTGAGCTCTCGCACAGCGAAGCCAATGAGCCGTGCATGGAGCCTGTAAGTGGGCGCCGAAGCAGCGCATCCTCTCCAGCTGCACACAGCCAGGCAACACAATTTTACTTCTGTCAGATGCCGTCACCTGTTTTATAAGGTGCACTGGCCGACAACCTCTCTGAAACCTTGTAGCTCGCAAGCAAGAGTCAGCCAGAGCTGTCCATGATGGCAGCAATCGCCGCAGACACCACCACCTGCTGCTACACAAATTCTGTGGCGCCGCTGTTGCACTTTGCAGCAGACCTTGCTTGGAAGTAGAACAAGCTGGGCCATGATGCTCAAACCAGACCCGCATGTTCATCCATGAGCCGTAACCCCTGTGTCCGACCTCAACGACAAACCCGACACAAAAATTCTGAGTCTCTAAATGTAAACACATGTACTTTGCCTATGTACGCATGCATTCGTGTATGTATACACCTACATACTACTACTGTACATGTATTTTCACATTTACATCTACATTCACATTGACATTGATATGTATGTCTGCTTTGTGTTTAACATATCCATGTTTATACATGCGTTGATCCTACCCAGAGCGATTAGTCTCTTACCAGTACAATGGCAAACTGCCTTCACTTCCCTCTCTATCAGACAGCATGTGCAAGGCGCCCGAGCACCATCGGTCTCTCGGCTTGCTCGCAAAGCGAAGCAAACCGCCGCGAAGTGCCGCCTGAGACGCCGAAAAAAAGGACTCCTACATCCTACCTACCTACCTACGTACGTACATACATAGATACGAAGACATGCGCATGTCTTCCCATATGCATACACACATGTATGCGATGGCAAACCGCGTGTACTTGATGTTGTCTCCCGTTCCCCAAGCTCCTACATTTTCCGCCTGGCTTTGGGTGCTGAGAGTCCTCGTTTCCAACCAGCAGTATGATTCTTGTGGGCGATTCCCGTGAACAGGGCTCCACCACGACAGACAATACATCCAAATCCGAACCATCCCTCATCGACCTTCATCTAGGAAGATGGGGGCCTTATCGGCATATGCGGAGCGGAGATTTATTTGGACTCGACTCGACCCCACAGGAATCGAAGGGAGACCGTCGAATGAAGTGTCTGGTGAGGCCGTAATGAACCCTCCATTTCCCAATCTGGACCTTTGATCGACGCAATCGAAATACCTGAGGATCTGGCGCAATGAGGTACAGATGCCTCATCAAGTCTGCCTTGCAAGCTTAATCCGCAGGGTCACGAGTATGCATTTCAGGAGCTGCTGTAGAAACGTGTCAAACGCAGCCTCGTGCTAGCAACCAGACTGAAACGAAGCTTCGGCGCGCTGGGCCTTGGTCTCTTGCTTCATCTCCTGCATCCAGAAACATCGCGTGTCCTGCAGAGCGCTGTGGCCTCTAAACATGAAGGATTCGCAAGAGTTCGGCTATCGAATCCCGACACAAGGTCACAACTTCTGAGCATTGGCCTTCCCAGGATGATCTAGAGGCAGTGGCATTGGCAGAATCTGTGTCCTCGGCAGAAACCGTTCTGATGCGGGTCGTTCTTCAAACTTCAGCTGTGCCCGTTTAGTGTGATTTGGGAACGGAAATCGCGAAGCGTCTGCGTGGACAGTGCGCAGGCTCAGCAGACAAGGCCGTCCCTGAGGCGTCGGCAGTAGTCGTGCTATCAATGCAAATCTCGTCAACGCCTCGGAAAAGGTCCTAGCTGCCAGAATCCATACCAGAAGAGGGTGAACTAAACTTCTAGGTCCTAGTTCTGAAAACAGCCAAGCCATAACAGCAAAGAGCCTGCTTGTTCATGCTTAAGATGTCTGCATAGCAAGAGGTGCTGCAAAGTTTCCAAACCGCTATCTTGTCCGACGCGGGGTCCCGAACACCAACGAATGGGCTGAAGACTGCCCATATCACTCGCCCTGCTGCCTGAAGTTTAGCTGAAGCTTGGGCATGTCCGGCACATTTTCGTCACTCGCGCTGGACGAATTTTCGGCAGGACTAACAGACGACAAACACATTGGCTTGTCCGTTCATCAGCAACTCGGAGTTTCTTCTTCTCAAACTCCCAGTACGGCAGCCCGAAAAGGGTGGCGAAACGCCTCTTCGTAGCCACCTCCGTGAAGGATGAAGCCAGGATCCAAGGCTTCTTCTCATCCAAGCAATTTCGCGCAATCTGCGAGGCATCGTTGTACTTCACTTCCTCATCTGGTCCTACGATGACCAGCCTGGGCCAACTTCGTACGTCCAAGGGAACGCCATAGCGCTCGAAAATGATCGAGTTGTCGCGAAAAGGAACAGCCAACCATGGCATGCCCCTCACAAAGCGATTGAACTCCCTTGGACCACCTCAAACTGATCGAACTCCTCTTTCTTCACGGCCTTGTACACTTTGATGAATGCTCGAACGAAGCCACAACAGACGGGGCCATTGGCACGGAACAGCAGTCCCACCACCTTGCCGGAGAGAACATCCTCGGAAACATACTCCCACCCCGCCAACGTGTTCTGCGGCGCCTCGCTGTCGCTCAGCGCATGGCGTGGCAGAGGGATTGGCCTCAAGCCTTTGCCGCGCTGCAGGATCGACAATGTGCCCTCTGATGTGCGCGCCGGCTCTGGCCTGCTCTGCAGCCTTCTCAGCCATGGCAAGCAGAAGGAAGGCTAAGGGGGAAAGCAAGCAGAAGGAAGGCTAAGGGGCTTGTGGCTGCTTCATAAATACATATATCAGGGCCTTCATACTTAGAACAGGGTTTAGCGGTATATTGTGAAAGTACTCTACAGGGGCTATTTGGTGGCTTTTAGTATTCCGTAAGGCTTTGGGTCTAGCAGCTGAGTGTCTGCGCGTGCGAAATCGACACCACTCCTTGCAAAACAGCTGCGACTACTGAGTACTGCTGATAGTAATACAACTGAAGCGGCTCTGATCGTGATGCAAACGATGCAAGCTGAAGGGCTTGAGCCGTAGCCATGCGTCCGGCATATGCTTCTGACGGGGACTGTTCGGTTGTGGGAAGTTTCTTGACATCGTAAGGATTCGCAAGGCCGTAAGGGCACAGCGAGCATGAAGCACCCCTTCATCTGGTCATGACTTTCAAAGCTTCGCGTTCTGAGATGCCAACTGATTGTGACATGTGCTCCGACTGATTGCAGAGCAGGGTCAGCCTAGCTTCGGAGTGAGCCGTGGATTCTGGTCATGACTTTCAAAGCTTCGCGTTCTGAGATGCCAACTGATTGTGACATGTGCTCCGACTGATTGCAGAGCAGGGTCAGCCTAGCTTCGGAGTGAGCCGTGGATTCGAGGGCTCTAGATTGTCCGGATCGGTACAGGGCAAGCCCAAACAACAAACTCTAAAGCTAGCAATGCTGGGAAAGCTTCCAGCACTTCCACAGGACGGCAGATTTAGAGTGATGGGAGTGTGAACGAAACAGCTTGCAAAGCCCCTGCGGTGTCACCTGTCGATCCAAGCCACGGCATCAGGTCCTACGCCCCTACGCCCTTCCTCAAGTGCAGCGATGCGGCAGATGCGATGCCAAACGGCAGCAGTCAGAAGCTTCAAAAGGATTGCGCACTGCCTCTGTTGCGGACTCAGTTGGGTTGGCTCGAACAGACAGGTTCACTTGCCAGTCTTTAGCTGGCAATGCTCGCGCAGAGCTACCAGACAACCCGCACTTCAAGCTACTACCGAGCTGCAGCTGAAGTGACGACGGTACCCGAGACTCCGGACAGCTGAGTCGATCCTGGATTAATCATGCTTCAGGAGCCGGGTCCGAAACACGGACATTGCAACGAGACGGGGATGGGATGCATCTGGAATGCATACACCCGGGGCGACCACCACAGGCAGCTCGCTGGTAGGAACAGAAACGGAAACACGGGGAGGATCCACCTGCACCGGCTGCACCGGTCCGTCGGTTGCAGTTCTCAAGTTGTAACAAAGCTGCGCTGACCTTTGGAATGGGAAGCAGCACTGCCTTGAAAACCTGGGGCCTGCAGTGTCCGGAAATGCTCCACCTGAGTTACGCATGCCTAGGCTGCCTGACCAGAAGCTCGAGAAATGCAGGCCTGCCCTTTGAGGTGTTCGACATCCTCCTCCTGAGCTGCAAGCAACACGTCTGTTTGGGCTCCTGGCCTTTCCACGTTCGGCGAAGTGTGACGACATGGCCCTGTTTGGAGGAAGAGGCAGAAAGTGGAACTCTGAAGCTAAAGCCTCACGTGCAAGCAGACCCCAACTTCGTGCAAGCACCCAATACTCGTAGAACTCTAATGCAAGGGTGTCCAGCAGCCGCTCGAAATCGTTGAATAGCAGCTCATGCGCAGGCCGCCCGCCTTCGCGACTCACAAATGCACTGCATGCTAGATTCTGTTAGATGTCTCTAGCCCGGGAACGATCGTAGCACCACTGCGTAACTGCACCCGCGAATGACCTCAGTTTCGCACCTGAGACCACCTGAATTGGGCAGGCTGGTGGTAAAACCTCAGTCGACTCGTCGTCCGAGCACTCCGATGACCACGAATCAAATGCTTCAGATTCACTGGCTGTGCGCAACCCCGTGGCGCAGAGCTTGAGTCTGTACAAACGAACAAACTCAACTCTGTTGCACAGTGTTCATTGTAGGGGCTCGTCAGCCCGCGTTGCCCCGGGGTCCGAGTTTCAAACCTCGAAACAGGCAACACAACATCAAATCCCGCTCTCTCTCCCTTCCCTGTTCCTGTTGCTTCTCCTTCTCGTGTCCCTGTTCCTTTCCTGTGTTTTGGATGGGCTTCCGCAGAAAAAGGGGATGTGGCCGAGGGGGGGAAAAAGTGCCTGAATTTACAGCGCCGTCAGCCTTCTGCTGACCGCTGTGGCACTCCTCTCTTGGTCAAGTTAGGAAAGCAGGTCCCCAGGCACAAATTGGCGCGCGAAAGCCTGTCCCTCCAATTGTCTATCATGGTTGGTACTCTGATAAAGCTTCATGGTTTTTCAGCCTGTGGAAGTCAGCTAAGCAACTGTTTGAGAGACGGTTCTAGGAAAGGGTCGTCCCCCTCCTGTATGTTGTACATTTGTATCAACTCAAAATGTCAGGGCCATCATCATCTACCGCATCGCTGTCCCTCTGTTGTACTGGTGCGCCTCGCAGCGTGTGCCAGACAGGGTTTGCACAATTTTGAACAGATGTTGTCTACGCAGATTCATGTCCAAGGGAGGATTCAAAAGCACAAAACCTGTTTTGTGCCAACCGTTGCGCACCCCCACGACGTGGTAATCAGGCACCGGCTGTACGAGCATCGCGCTCGGAACTCTCTCGTTTCCAACACTCGTCCTGGGAAGATAGCCGTTCGGCGGGCAAAAGCATCACAAAGAGTGCGCTGCGAAGCTGGTGTCGAACTGTTCTGTTGGGTCCATCGCCGTCCTTTAACACTGGCTAACTTGTCTACAGTGCCGCCTAGGCCTGGCATGGCACCCGGATCTGGCCTGGACTCTTTGGACCAGCTGACGTACAGCATCCAACTCCCAGCTGCGAAACTTCTCGCCAAACCTGGCTGCTGTCACAAACGAAAGATTCAGGTCCGTCCAGGAATACGAGCATTTCGCTCATGATGCTGCTCATCTTTGTTCCCGGAAGCAAGCAGAGATCAACATGTCGGCAGTTCCGGTCGACCTCAGGCTTCACGTGCGAGCGAATTGAAGATTGGGCTTCGAAGGCGCAGAGCGGGAAGCGTCAAGCGCTTTGTCCTACTGCATGAGCAAGGGACCTACTGACTGAGGCATCAATGAGATGCGCCAACATTGCCCACACAAAAGTGAAAGCTGCTGCGCTGATTTCGGGAGAAGCAGAGGCAACACCCGCAAAAGCGATGAAAACAAGACATTATGTGGTCATGAGAAGATGCCAAAGGCTGCAATTTTCTTGGCTCTCAGCATGGCATGCAGCCGCACCTGCCATGGCAGCCCATCGTGCATGTGCACAAAGCCAGCTCGAGAACTCCAGACAATTCGAGCGAACCCATGGCAAATGCAGCAAGAGGCTTTAACCGAGGTCTGGAGAACACCCAATCTTGCAGGGTGCTGGCAGCATGCAATCTCTGACTAGCTCGCTCGACTTCCCTGCATCGTAACACAGGGGCCGTGCTCTTCCCCAGCTCTTTAGACCAGCTCGTTAGGTGCGCACACTTGCTTGCGAAACGGACAAGCCGCAGAGGACTGGAAACCCGGCAAATGATGATGCATCAACCTTATTGTTGCGCTACCTGTCTCCAAACCGTTGCGGTAAGGATGCCAGGTTCTCGGGCCACGGAAACGCTGGCGCATCGAACCATCGCAAGCTCCCCTGCCTGGAAGGCGAAGGCTTTCATGTTGAGGGATGAGCAGCTGCGTCGAGGAAAGACTACATATCAAAAGTTTCAGGGAGTTCATATTGTTATTGGATTGAGGGATTCAGGCATGGCAGTGTCTTTACTTCTCATATGGCTCTTCAGGGAGCACAGCCCCACAGTTTCGAGAATGTTGGGTCCACGGTGTAACCGCGCAAGGTGTGTTAACCAGTCATGCTTTCTTGTTGCCACGATGAGAAACAATGCTGCTAACATGACAAGCGGTCTGTCTCTCTCTCTCTCTCTCTCTCTTTCGCTCTTTCTCTCTCGCTCTCTGCCGTTGCATCCAGAGGGTCTAAAAGCGCCAGGCAACGCGTGAGGCTCAGCCCTTCAGGCCCCTGACGAGCAGTAGGCCACGCTCTGCTTTTTGGGCCGCTGCCATGTTCCAAGCTTCACGTCGTCTATTAACGGCTCAAGAAGGTAGTCTCTTTACCGCTCTCCGGGGCTGGGGCTGTAGGTTTCTCAGGCTACTACACACTCCAGAAAGTAGTCGGTTTGTGAGCGCTGTTTACCGACCAGCAGGCCCCGAGAGAAACCGAGCCAGCCACATCCCAACTCTACCCCACCACTTGAGGGATAGACTCGGATAGACCTTCTATTGCCTGTATGTCAATGCATAACAAATGCTTTTGTCATTGTTAACCTGTACCACGGTCCACGAGTTTCAGCTTCTGCGAGAAAACCTGAAGCCGAGTGACCCCGAGGCAGGTCGCCGACGAGCCAAGCGCTCGGCTCATGGCGGAGAGGGCCTGGGTTGTGGTGCTTGACGACATTCACTTTGCAGCTGCTCTTTCAAACCGTCGGACAGTGCTGGATCTCTAGGATGGACGTCACTGCCAACTGAGGCCGAAGGGATGCAAAGAGGAGTCAGACTCACATCCGGTCCGGTCCGGCAAAAACAGTTCTTTTTGACGCTGGAAACATGAGACTTGAAGGCGCTCAATGAGCTTCGCAAGCTACCGTCCCACATGAAGATGCATCCCTTGACCGCCTTCGACCCACAGCCAAAAAAGCAATGGCACCCGACACGTCTTGAATATTCTTGCATCATCAGAAGAAAAGGGCTTAACACGACATACATCTGTCAGGCGCCGAACACTAGCCGTACCACACCAGAGTCGCCTTTGGCTGTCTGCCTCGCTGTGACGGCTAGTTTCTATGGGCCCCGGCATAGCGCTGGCACTGCACCTGCGTTCGCAAGCCCTAGGCTATGCTCGCAGATTCAAGGCAGCCCTCGGTTGGAGAGGATCAAAGCCGCTCAGAGTTCTGCTATCGAAGACAAATGCGCAATGCGTAAATGACCCATTCGCACCTGGCTCCAGGCTGCGGTCTCCTCTGTGGCGCCAGAGGCCCGCAAACAGAAGCGAACCTCGGGGGTGCGTCAGCAAGACATACCGACTTCGAGGTTCGGGGCTAGGCCGCTAGGTGCTGAAGGGAAGCACGTGAAATATCATGTCTCACATGCTTGCGCATGAACTTTCACACATCGGCTGCGTTAGACTGCGAACATTTTGGGGGAGCCCTGGCCTCGGGGACGCTGCTGGGAAGCAACAGAACGCGTTAACATACAAGGCACTCTCAACTGGAAGAACAATCCAACGCTCGAAGGTGTAACAGTGCGCACATGAGATGTGTCGTCTGTCATCCTTGCTGTCGTTTTCGGGTCTTGAGTCTCTCCGACTCTGCAACGACACTTATTTCCCGGCATGCGCATATGCACGCATTCGCCGTGGTGTACCGCCTTGTTGTCGGTTGGAACATCGAAACAATGGACCTGTGGCAGGTGTTCACCTCTATCCAGGAGAGCCTGAAACTGTGTGATTACCACGCCTTCACTATGACTTGACAGAGATCACAAGCTTCTCTCTCCCTGTACAAGGGGAGTTCACAAGTTCAACTTGCAACCTGCCACTGCTGAGGATGCTGCGGCCCGCAGCAAGCAAATCCTGCAGTGCACGAGAAAATCTCTCTCTCTCTCTCTCTCTCTCTCTCAGAACAGCGCGGGCTGAGCCTGAATTCGAAATTAAACATCTTAAAGTCATTGCCCACCTCCTCCGCTCTCCTAGCTCCTACCCTCAGCCCGATTCTCGGAAAAGAAAAGAACCGGGGAACAGCAAAAAAACGACGATCAGGCCGAGGGCTGTGCATGTAAGATCCGTCTCCGGCGACCGGCACCGGACAAAACTCTACCCAACCTGGCGAGAGTGGCCGAGGGTCCTCGGGATGATCTTGCCGCAGGGTACTTAGGGTTTCGAGGCATAGAATAATCTACGCTACATTTGGGGGGGAATGTTAGCTTCATGCAACTTCCACTTCGTTCCTTTCGACCGCACTGTCAGTCGTTGGGCTTTCACTGGCTCGCACAAGCAGTCTTCTGACTTGGAAGCTTCGGCTGCTCATGTGCAGAGGAAGCGGCACCCTGGCCACTGATCGGAAAAAACACAAAGAAGAACTTCATACACGGGATGTTAAGCAACAGCTCGCATCTCTGAGTGCAGCCAGCTCAGCCCAAGGCCACTCGGCTCGACACCAAAGTCTGCAGCCAGGGGCTGCTTCTTCAGCATCTGACGTCAATTGGTTGTGAGATGTTGCGAGCACGAGTGCGCAGTTCGGTTAAGGCATTGCAAAAAAGCCCAGGACCCTGCCGGAAGCAGCGTGCTGTACAAAAGCTGCGGGCCATTTGAAGTTTGTGGCCGCACCTAGGCCAGAAGCAGTTCGGTGCGATTTGAAACACAATGGGACAAGTACGTAGCCACCAACGCCTTGCGTGTTGGGTAGACACTTGCAGGGGCGTCATAAACAAACTTCTTGCAGTCGGGATCTGCTTCGATTGGGAGCACATACGACGACTGGCAAAAATCCTGGCTGTCCCCTCTTATCTATCAGAGGTTGTACGAACTGAGGCACTGACAAACTGCCGGAAGAGAAGATACCAAAACCTTCACGACTGCAGCAGTAAGTCTTGCTTATCAGAATGCTGGCATTCCGGGTGTGGTTCCCTGGTTCCCTTCTGTCTACAAGGACAGCGAGTTGTCGCTTCGAACAGCCTGTGGACTGCCCGCCTGTGCAGTGCCGGTACCAAGGAGAAAGAGTGCTCGCAGCAATGCCCATCAGCTATTATCATTGCAATCAACCACAGGCTACTCATCACTAAACAAGCAGTTGGCCCCCGGCGTTCCGCAGGTGATACGCTTGGCAGGAACATCTGTCAAGACCTGGCAATCGCGGCTAATCCTAGCCCCTGAGCCTGACCGTCCTGCTTCGACCCCCTAGGCATACAGGTCGTAACAAGAGCTGAGTCCAATGAGTCTCAGTCTGTTACTTTACTTCCAACAGTTGCTATCTGCAGCTGTTATAACGCGAAACTGAGCACGGTGTGCGAGGGGGCACTGCCGCGTGGCGAGCTCGGGACTCGGTGCCTCCCAGGAACTGTGCAGAAACTCGACGGAAGTATTCAAATCTGTTCAACTATTCGGCTTCCTTTCTCATGGGAACTGCGGCGGGCCTCGATTCAAGCCTTTGACATCGAGATTAGCATTCGAGCATCAGAGACAGCCGCCTCTCCGCTGGCACGGAGTGGATGATACCTCAGCCGGAAACGAAAAGACTGCCCTCACTTGGTCTGTAGATTCACTGTAGATGCTCGCGAATTTGCCAACCACGTAACAACATTTAACAACTCCGTGGTCACAGCCGTAGCACGACAGGCTAACGAAATATGAAACCAACAGCACGACTGCCTGAGCCAGGACCCCGGCTGCAAGCCGTCGCCGGTGTTAACGACAGCAACAGTGAAGTTCTCGTCGGTGAGGTGCCGGACCTCGAGTGAGCATGCGCTAGCTGGCTGGAACTTCCGGTTCACGGACTCAAGATTGGGGATGCTCAGAATCCCTTGGAGTCTGTTGCTCTTCAACCTCAATGCCAGTCAGTGAAGCCCACATGCTGAGAAGAAACTCCACCTCCATCCTCCGACGATCTCCAATCCGACGCCGTGCCGAAAGGCCAACCAAAACCACCCCGGATGGGGGACCGGGCAAGGATGAGGAGCATGCAGTGTCCGCCGTCTTCAGCCTCTGCCTGGAGGAAAAAGAATCTTAGAACCGCCAGCAACGATCTCTTGCTGGTTCCTTCTGGCCTGTTGTTGGCGGACGGTGGACAGCATTTTCAGAGCTGGCAGGAATACATCACGCATCAGCGAATATACACATGCATATACATACAATGCATGCTCTATCTATCTATATCCATCCATCCATCCATCCATCCATCCACCTATCTATGGGTATAGACAGATAAATAGATAGAGGCCACGTGCAGCATGCCTTCTCAGCCCACGAGGAGCGCTTTCGCCATCCTGTGGGCCTCAGCGCTCGGAGTTCTTGGGGCTCCTGTTTTCGAACCGGGAGTCAGGCCGTCGGGGAGTACGTCCTCAGAGGTTTTTGGTACTGTGCTAGTACTGTGTCGTATACTGTCCTCCGACCCCGTCAAGCTGCGCATGTACGGGATTAGTGTGTGAGTGTGTGTCAACACGACAATGCCGTCAAGTCTCGGCAACTAGCCGTGCCATGCTGGCAGTCGCGTGCGTGCATGTGAAGAGCAGAAAACTGTCATGGCTCCAAAACCTGGAAAGCTGTCGCCAAGCTGTCGTTGTTCTGCTGCTTGGGGCTGCTGCACCCAGGCCAAACCGCCTGGAGGCAGCTCCTGCAAACCAGGATGGAGAGTTTGAGTTGATGTCGTCTTCGCACAATCCAGAAGTTCGAAAGTCGGAAGCCTTGAGCTGTGCGACCAGGTGCACCAAGAGGGGCAGCATCCTCCGACTTCGAGGCTGGAGCGCTCGATGACTTATCTTGCAGGGCTAAATTCAGCATTGACATCCCTGTTTCCATCTTCCCGACACGGCTGTAGATCGTAGTCCCAGTCGTTTACACTTTAAGTCTCAGCTCCCCACTTTTTCTGCACCTCCCGCGGGTCCTGGCATACACGCACGGAGGAGCAGCGGTTCGAGTGCATTTCCAACAACTGCTTTACTCAAGCGGCCGCAGCCGCAGCCCCATTCACTTACACCAACTCGCTCGGCACATCGAGCAATGCCACAGCTGAAAGCAAACACCTAGCTTCCGATCAGCCAATGCCGATGATGTTGAACCCGCCCAAGCTTTCTTGGCCGAAAGTCATCACTTGCGGGAGAAGAGCCGCTGGGCCGACGACCCGACCCAGAGCCCCATGTTTGCAAGCCTCGCCTCCGAACCCTCTCTTTTCGCACTTCTTGGCGAAGTCTCCATGTCAGCACTAAAGTGCCCGCCGCCAGGCACCAATTAGCAGATGATCAGTGCAAGCAGTCTGTCACGCCTTTCCCTGAGATGTGTCTAGTGCCCAATCATAGGGGGTTTAAACGCAAGCGCATTAGCCAAAAGAGCCTCATTGCGAATGATACCTTATGACTCGGTTATGATATGTCGAGTTTCGGTCGCGCAGCCTAGCCTGCGTGAAGACTGCAACAACACTCGCGAGTCACGAGTTCTTCTTGTCGCCCTTCACGTCCGTCACCTTCATGCGCATCGCACTAGGAGAAGAAGGTTGGGTTGGATTACCCCGTTATCAAACAAGCGTTCGGTGCACTCAGAGGGATCCCAAAAGACTGGGTCAAAACTGAAACTTTCTAATCTTCCTCCACACACCGTTCACGTGTTCCCCAAGCTTGCACCTTAGGGTTGTGTAAACATGGCGGCTGTCTACATCCTGCGACTCGCAGATCCCACCCGACCCAAGATCCACGTGAACCGTTCTGCCAGGTCGCCTTGCTGGACTTGCAGCACCGACAGCATGCAAGAAAGCACCTTTGCATCGGAGGGACTGAGACCTCACGTTTCTGCCTACCTCCAGTCCGGACAAACAGAAACCGCTCAAGTAGCTAAGTCAGCTGAGCGCGGCCAAAAAAGCCCACCGTCCTCTCCGGGACCCTGCCTTGCGAGCAGCATGAGAAGCATCAGCGCCAGCAAGATCAAAGGCCTCGGCCATGTCACGACAAACAGGCGTAAGCGTAGGCCCAACATGGGAGATCGCCTCCTGATAGCTTTGCCAGGAACGGTGCGACTACATGCACTCTCAACAGCAGAACTGGTTGCATCTGAACATCTGCTAAAGACCCAAGACATCCCGGGAACCTTCATCGTCAACCACGGAGGACCAAAGCCTCAAAGCCAGATGCCCCAAGCTTCTGCGGCAAGGCCACGCCAGGAGTTGAGGCAGCCAAACTTGCAGCGGATGTTCCGCGTCGAACTTCAGCGTCTTCAGGAGCGACCGGATGCCTCATCTCCAAAGGCACCAAAGCCCAAACCCTCCAACCCGCAGCACCTCCCAATTTCGGAGACATCCCAGCTCCCCTTTGGAGCGTCGAAGCCAAACATGACTTTGCCTCATCACGTTTCTCGGTCCCTTTGCTAAAGCCCAAATCCCGAGACCCGCGAACCTAGCTTTCCGAGAACTCTCTGGTTATCTGATCGCTGCCAAAGCGCCGAACTTGTAGAGACCTCGCTTGGCAGTGCTTGTGTGGGGTCCGGTCCGGATTCGTTTTGTGCTGCCAGAAGCACGATGCGGACTTCGTCCTTGCTAAGTAGGGTGGGACAGTATGCGGGTGAACCAAGATTACATTTGATTCTCTTTTCTCGCACTTCTGCTCTTAGTCTGCCAGCTGCTGAGCTACTGCACAGGTCGAGAAGCACAAGGTGCAATAAGCTCTGGGGCTTGCGCTGCGCAGCCAGTAGTAGTTCCTGAAGAGGTACCCAACCTGGGCCACAAATCCCAAGCATCAACCAGGAAGCCCCCCAAACACCTTGCTCGGATACACGTGTTATATCGTGTTAAATTCAGGGCCTGAGCAACCCTGGCAACTCTCCGGGAACCCCCGAAGATGAAAGGGTCAGACGAATGCTTTAATTACGAGACTGTATGTCACACCCGAGCAGCCGGAAGGACCATGGTGTCAAACGTTCGCATGAAGTCGAAAACGTCATCGTGATCCCAGCCCCACTGTCGGAACCGAGGCTGCCTCAGCTGTCGGTGGCAGCTTGGTCTGTACGAAACCATGTCATGGCCTCCTCTGTGAGGGAAACAGGGTGTCTCGCGGGGGCTGATGTTCCCCCATGTGAGGTGAAAGTTAGATGGCTGATATCGGCTCATTCTGCAGGCATGTTCAAGACTTCTCTAAATCAACATTAACAGCCCGTTGCACCACTCTAAGCGCACTTGAGCTGCCCGTTTGCGAAGAGCATGAGGCACGGGACAAGCTTTGCATCAAAGCCATCCATGAGTGAATCGTCCCTCGGCGACAGGGATGTTCAGGACCCCAGAACTATAGTTGGTGTTCGGAGGTTGCTTTGCAAAGGCTCAGGGGATGCCAAACTTGCGACCCGCCACACAGAGCCAGTTTCTGCCTCTCATCACGGGCCGGGCTACGGGCTGGTACTAGTCAGTCGACATCCTGAACCTAATTCCGGCAACGCTTTCAGCTTCCATTCCACCACCCGACCGTGCCCGGCCCAGGGTTCTCGAAAGTACCGTTTGGGTCTCGCTCGCTCTGTCTCTCTCTCTCTGTCTCTCGTTCTTTTCTCCGTCAACACGGCCAAAGTCAAGCGAGCAATGAAAGCCCTCGCACCCCTGCACAATTTCACGCACCGGGACCCCAGTTTCGAAACGGCTAGCCGGGTGTTAGCGGCTAGCAGAGCTCTGCTCTCTTGCATTCTTTCTTAAGCCTACCCCGTTTACACTTGCGAGTCCAAGAACAGATTGATTTTCCGAGCCAGACTAAGACATTACGAACCAACCAGGAGTCTGTGTAGCTGCAAGTCGGACAGTGGAGCCCAGCGCTTGAAGCTCCTTCGCTGCAAGCCTCGACTGAGGCATACCACGGCTAAGCGTCACAGCACATCTCGGAGCACGTCCAACCGCAGGTTTAGGCCCTCGAACTACGGACTCCTTCCATTTAACTGAGAAGATTTAGGAGCGGACACGTTGAGGTTGAGACTTCTCGCTGGGTTTTCTGGCCACCAGATTATGACTGCTCCTACTGTTGTTACAGCAGTAAATTGAGGCGTGTTGAAGCAAAAGTCTGGCCCACAAGTTTGAGAGAATCTGAACAACTATGGCACTGATTTTATGAGGGTCTTGTACTTCATGACATGATTTTGACTTGAGCATCTGGGGCTGGGGGGGTGAACATGGGCATGATCATCCCTATGCCGGGAATATGGGTTCGGCTGACGGTGTGAATCCTTAACCTAGTACTAGTCCCACTTCTACAAGTACTAGCAAGCAGTACTAGTAGCTAGTAGTAGTACTAATTCAATACTACTAGTATGACTACTAGTACTAGTACGTAAGGAGAGGGGCCGTTTGACGAAGGTTCGGGATACGGGGCGGGGTTCGGCGAAGCTTGGCGGAGTGCTACTGATACTGGCTGTTCCGCCAT